AAGTTCATATTATCTATATCTTATCAAAAAAGTCAAACATTTTCACACAATTCACATTTTACTTTGAAATATAAGATAAGAGCGTATCAAAAAATATACGATAAGTTTGACACAATTTCTTTGTTTTTTACACAATAATTTAAGTACTTTAAACTATAAAGACGGAAATTGTTCATTTATTTATTTTGTAGATATTGATTTATTGTAAATATATATATTCGGAGTTCAAATATGAAGCTCAGTATAATTTATTCAAATTTATTTTATTATTATTATATTTTCATATAATATGCAAGTTAAATTCGGTATAACCAATTAAAAATCTGTAGATGTACCACATTTAAACCAAGAACAAATATGTATGTATTTCTAATTCTAAATAAATTATTAATATCGATCTTTGATAAAACGTCATAAACACAATTTTATAGTGGCTTTTAAATCAACAATAGAGTTCTCCTACAACTTTTTAATCCAATTCTTTTGTTTTATTTTTCTAAAAAAATATTTACTTTTTCTTTTTTTAAAGAGCAGTACAAACAATGAATTTAATAATACAAAATATTTCCACATTTATTTCTCTGCAGTCAGACCATCAAGTCTGATCGGATCCAACTCTTCGCAGGAGCTGTGCCAAAGTTGTCGAATTCGACATTTGGCCAAAAAAGGAGCCATCGCTGCGAGCCAGGTTTTTGTGGGTGCAGAAAGTGCAGACAAATGCAGGAAGTGCAGCTGCCAGAAACTTGGGGACGTGAGAAAGCCAAGAGAAATGGCAAAGGTACTCGCACTCGCAACGAAGAAATGCAAGCCAAAAGCATCGCATCACGGATGTCAATGCGGAAATGGGGCTGAAAAGCTGAAAACCTGCAAACTGCAAAACTGCAAAACAGAAATTGAAGCTGAAGTTGTCGTGAAATGCCGCTAAATGAATCGTTTTGGCGTTGGCTTTGTGGGCTTCCTGGTGCGGCTTGAACCCTTGCCGGGCGCCTTGACAGACCGCTGACACCCAAATGTTGGCAATATAAGGTTTATGGGACTGACCTTTTAATTGCGCAATTACGGCCCAGAGAGCGAGCGATTTCCACTTTGTTTTCCATTTCAAAGGCGCATATGTTGGATAATTGCCGAGAGTTTTGTTAGTACTTGTATTATTTAGCTTTTCTTTATATACATACATATATCTCGATGCCATTGTGCGACGTTCGGGGGCTTCCGTTTTTTTGTTTGGCTTAGTGAGCTTGGTGGAAAAATAAAAGTACTTTTCAATACCTGTGCATTGAGGCGTTGCGAATGGCCAGAAGGGGCGTGGCATATGCTCATCATCGGCTTGTGTGCCTGGTTTTTTTACGCAACGAAAGCAGATGAAACCTTTGCACCACCCCCATAATTAGCTTTCGGCCGCTTTCTTTTGTCCCACGGATTTTAATTAAGTCGCCACTAAATCATCGCTATTGCATAACCCGAAGTTGTGGGTCACCAGCGGTTTTTAAGTATTAATCACGCACCAGAGAAATACATAACATAAAACCACCGGGGGAAAGACAACGGACAAAACACTCCAGAGGAAATTAACCAAATTATGGACCTGCCAAAAAGGGTTCAATAAACCGGGGCCGCAACGAAAGCTAATGAAAAAGAAATTATAAACAGTTTATATAAAAAATAAGGCGAAGATAAAAACTCACTAAATTGAAATTCACCGCCGACACACAAATTGCACGTTTTATTTCCTTTTCCTCGCCAAAAAAACTAACCACAAAAGTAACCAACTGGGAATGGGAATGAGGTCTTCAAATTAAATTCAATTCAAAGGCAAAAACCATGCGAAATTATAATAAAATATCCAGGAAATAAGGAAAAAGTTAGATGATAACTTGAACCATTTTACACTTGTTATATAATGTATGCCTGAATTTGGGTTTAATTTGTACTGCCAATTTGTTATGAATTATATATGATTAGAATTAAGTTTCGGGGATTCACTTTCAAACCAAGTTAGTAAATAGTTTATAACTAATAAAAATAAATATTTATTATATCTTAACCTGTTCTTGAAAGATCTAATTGAGGAAAACAAACATTATCGTATATAATGAAAAAATATCTAGTATTGTCTTATCTTCATAATGAAATCAAATTACTGAGAGAACCATATTTATTTTCATTCAATGTTCGCTATTGTTTGTTTGTTGTTTTAGTTCTCTTATTTCGAAGCCTTCCCAGCTCTAAACTTTACATAATTATATGTAAATAATTCTTGGCCTTGCCATCCGATCACGGAGCGCCCTGAACTCGACGCCATCGATTAGTTCCGTGACGAAGATCTATTATAAATCAACCGATATCTGTATGTTCGCTGGCCTGTTTACACATGTGCGCCTCGGACCTATCAAATAATGAACAGAGCAAATATTGTGATTGAATATTTGTTATTACATATCGAGCGAATGGGGCGAGTGTGGAGTAAAAGCCAGAAAAGGCTGAAGTAAAATCCGAATCAGAGTACGTAATACGGAAGGCAAAAGGGTTAAATATTTGAACAGTTGCAGTTGCTTTTACCACGGGAGTACACCTAAAGAAATGTAATATTTTTGAACAATTTTTAGCTTATGATTTATAATGAATAAAAAGATTATATCACTTTGCAGGCATTTTCATCAGTATTTATTATTTTTCGTTTTTTTCTCTCACATATTTTCAACTCCCTAATATATTAGCAAATTTGTAATAAATTTCTCTCTATGCACAACTAACAATGACTTTACTACTTTGCCTCTTTCTCTGTATCTTTCCCACATTGATGCACGCCCCCATATTGCGTATACGCCCTGGTGGATACCGAAGTCAGAGTTTGAGCCAAAATCTCCGTCAGCTGCAGACTTGGGCACCAAAATGCACTTGGCTGACTGGTTGCTGTTGGCTGGCTGGCTTTTTGTTGACTTTTCAGATTTGCTTTCGACTCTTTGGCTCTTCTTCTCTTCGAAACTTGCCAACGCTTCACTACGCCTGCTAAACGAGTGGGATTACGCAATGGACGCACATGAGGTCTCTCGTTCCCAAAAAAAACAGAAGAAGAAACGAAACAAAAAATAAAGAAACAGGTAAACGTAATGAGCACACACCAGCCTCAAGCCGAGACACACCAATATTGATATTTTTCAGACGAATATCTCGGGTGTTCAAGTGGCCAGCAAACGACACCTACAACTGGCCAGGGCAGCTTCGAAAATTGCATTTCGTAAGAGGAGGCTGGCCAAAAGTGAGAAAAAAAGGGCGACAAAATAAATAAATCCGCATAAATTAAGCATAATCAAAATGCATTAACATTTGTTTAGTTAGCTCTGGGCCAGCCGCACATAAACCCTTTGCACTCAGACATAAAAGTTAGTAAAACCTTAGTCTCGATCCTAAAAGCCCAAAGTTCATGAATAAAGATGAGTGGCTGAAGCGAAAAGATCTCGAAAATCTCTAGGCCCAACACTTTGTTCCAATAAAAAAGACACTTAAGTCGTCCATTGAATTCACATTCAAATTCAAAATACAATTTCCATTTCGATTTCGATTCAAAATGCAAACGACAATCGACACCCACGCCATGAAGCATTTGAGAAATCATCAAGTCCAAACTTAATTGTTTATGAAAATACTTAATTGAAATAACAATTACTGTTTACATTTATGAGTGCGAGAGGCAGCCAGGGACAAAGCCGCCGGTCTAATCAATCTCCGCACTTGCAGCCAGTTTTTAAAAAGCATTTATGAAAGGCTGGCTATCTTCACCTCGACATTTGCCCTTGCAGAACCGTTTCATATTTTATATTTTCGGATACTTGCAGCTCGGTAGGGTTTCACATTTTGTGGGTTTATCTCTGCAGTTGGATCTTGTTTTCATAAACTTGACCGAAAATGGGTCGCACTTGCGGTCGGTCTGTACCTTTCTAAAATAATTTAAGGGCTCAAAAAATATATTTATTGATATATAAAGACACGAACTTAGTCTGCGGAATCTTAAATAAATACCTGCAACTTCTTCTCCTAAAAGCTCTTGGTAGCAAAGGTTTTAGGCACTCACCCACGTTGTTAGAGACATCTCATGGCTAAGAAAAAGAGTTAATGCCGTTTTTTATACTCCCCAGCTAATAAAGTTAAAAGCAAAAACTTTAAATTGAATGCAAGGAGACTGCCTTGCAACTAAACAATTCCTTTCTGCCTCATAACAACGCCAACATCGTTGACAACCACTTCAAGCTTTCAAATGCAAAAAGATTGGCCAATGCCGCGGCGGCTTCTTCGGCCACATTCGTCGGTCGGCCTGGCCTGGCCTAAACAGCAATTGTTTTTTTGAGTCAGCCACTCGAATGTTGCAGCGGCGATTGTTGCCTCGTCTGCTGGCAGTTGGTCAATAATTGGCATAGATTTATTTTGGCTAGTTGGCAATTTTTTCCGTTCATGTGTGTGTGGGGTTGGGAGTGTAGAGTGTGGAGTGTGCAGAGTGCTGGAAGACTTACCCACATCGCCGGGACTGAAAATTTCCGCTGAATTTCGGCTTTCGCCGTCGCCATCGCCGTCACCGTCGCCGGCGGTCGCATTCAGCTGCAGTTGCTGCTGCTGCTGCTGATGTTGCTGATGTTGCACATGCCTCGTTTGCTGCTCCGGCTCTCTAATTGCACCATTAGTTTGCGTTGCATTGGTCTGTGTTTCACTCAACGTGGCCGAAGCCGCCTCGACTACCAACAATGCCACCAACAAGAGCAACCAGCAACTGCAAAATGATTCATTGCTTCGATGAATTTTCATCAACGACATCGTAACCGAAGCATATACCGAAAAAAAAACACAACAACAACAAACTAAATAAACAAAAGTACTCAAAAATATTGCTGCTGCTGCTTTGTTGCTGATTGTTTTCTCTGCTGATTTTCTATCTGGTTTTCTATTGTTTGGCTTTTGCACAGGCACACACACAAACACACACGTTGTTTTCCACAATTGTTTTGTAGAATGAAGCTGCTGCGTCTTTGGCTGCTTTTCCAGCCGCTTTTCCTCGCTTTTCCGCCCCTGCCGCAGCTATGGCTGTGGCTGCTGTAGATGGGCCTGTTGCTGCTGCTGCTGCTGCTGCTGCTGCTGCTGCTGCTGCTGCTGTCGCTGTTGCGTGCAATAATTCAAGTCGTGCTGTCGACTTATCTGTGCTGCTGGTTTGGGAAATCGTACGCCGGCCCGTTGCTGCAAAATGTCGGAAGAGAGATCGGAGTGCATTAGTGAAATGTTGCTGATTGGTACATAAAAATAGTCAAAGGAAATCACTGGCGAAAATCATTCAGAAGGAAAATGCTTAACATGAAGGAAATGAGCCGGTTTTCGGCTTGGTTTACAGTGCGTTTCACTCATAAATGACACTTGATTAGGGGCTTTAAACTTTTAAAAAGAAATAGATAAAACAAAATTAAAACTCTTTCACTATTAAAATGTTTCTATATCCTTCACCTTATATAGATAATTTAGATAAGATAGTTGCAGAAGTTTTAAAAAAATGAGCTTCTTAAAATGCAATATGAATGAAAAAGAAAATGTACAAAAATAGGTTAACATAAAATATAACGATTTATGAAAAATTGCTGAAATATGGTGTGGATTATTTCAAAAAGGTATATGCTCATTTATGCATCGATTAAGTTTTTATCTTCACCTATTAGGAAACTCTACAAAGTCTATAAAAACCATAAATAAGATACTTGAACTGCCTGCTTGATACCTCATTTTGCCCTGCCTAATAAAGCAATTAATATATTTCCATTGTCAACTGAGACATAACTTCTACAGTTTAGAAGCGGCTCGACAATAAACATTATTATTGCCACTTGGGGCCATTTTTTTCAGAGCAGATAACCCTCCGTAAGCGGCTCAAAAACACAAAAAAAAACAATGTATACCCATGTGTACTGACTTGGCCATCGCCTGGGCAAACATCAATTATAATTCGCGGTAAGTAAGAGTGATAACTGAGGTCGTCGAGCCAACCGATCAGCGTCGTTTGCGGTTCAATAAAATCCCAAAGCCCAAAGCCAAAGCCGAACCCGCTGCCACAGTCAAACATCACGCATACGCCCTGGTGTCCGCGGGCCCCAACAGTTTCGTTGGCCATTAAAAACATAAGCAACTATGAATTTTTATGGCAATGTGTGTCATTGCCTGGCGAGGAATCAATTAAAGTCAAAGAAATATAAAGTGTTTTGGGTTTGCGCAAAATTACGTTGACAATTTCACTCGATTTGGTATGCGATGGTGTATAGGCCGCCGCCACTCAACTCGAGCCAACACAAGAAGCCTTCATGCCTGGGTGCGGCATCAGTTTTTTGCGTAATATTCGTTCAAGAAATAAAACATAGGCTCATGAGTCCAACGTTTGACCCTCGCTCATTTAGGCAGAGGGTTTTTTGTTACCAAAAATTATGAAATTTTCGTTCTTTGTTATGCTGATGAATTATTGTGCTAGCATGGCATTTCTATTTTTACAACCGAAAGAACCTTTCTCGCGGATGGCCAAAAGCGGAGGAGCGAAAGTTCAACGCTCGTTGGCCGAAAAGTCTAAGCCCGAGAACTTCTTTTTTGGCCATCGGCAGTTCCCATGATTAATTGTTCCGAGCAGGATGCCGTGTAAGAAAAGCCGAAAAGAAAGAAATTTGCATGATGATGGTGGCTAATGCCAAACTGATGATCAAAGAACAGCAAAGCCACATGATAACCATTTTTTAAATTATATGTTTCTCGTAATTTGGCTATAATTCGAAGAGAACTTTTTTTTGTGCCGCCGAGCTTAGCTCATTAAGGCTCGCTCCCAGTTTAATTATAAGAAATGCCATTGACTCGCTCGTTCGCGCTCGTTTTTATATGATTATATTTTTTGTTAATTTGTTATAACATCAGCGTTCTAAACTTAACAATCAAAAGCGCGCAATAAGATTACAAAACAAGTAAGACGGATGTACAGAGGCGTTGCGAGCTGAAGATACTCATTAGATTGGTTTTTATTTTATTTCTTATGAGATGTAATAATTACATTTATTTTTGTTGTGTGCCAGATGGTAGTATTTAAATATATATACTTGTACAAATGGTTTTCTTCTAGGTCTTTAATTTTTTATATTTAAAGAAACTGGTTCTTGTACAGAAAATAATTTAAAATGTTTCCTAGTTGAAGTATTCTTTTAAGAACCTATTTTAATTCTTTACTTATTAGTTTTGTTTATTAGGTTTTTTATGTTATATTCGCGTAGTCGGAACTACTTCCGCTTACCTCTTGTACAACTTCAGGTAAATGTACATACATATATACCCTTAATTTTGACTGGCAAAAAATATACGGCTTAGAATCATTTTTTGTCAAGTTGGCTCTCCAACTCAATCAACGTCTCTGCGATGAACAGAAATACTTTCAAGTGGCTTACAATTGGATGGGTTCTGAAGTGGTTCTCGCAGTTGTTTACTCGATTCTTTCGATGATTGATAAAGTGCGCTGAGCACCGAAAATCAAGTTACAAAAATCCGCCGTGCGAAAGAATTTTTGGAGGCAAACAGAATTCCCCAATCCCAACCTCAGAGCCGCCCACACGGAGCTCCCTCGTTCGTTCGCTTTGTTTTGCCATTTCTCGTTATTGCCATTGTGGCAAACAATGGGTTAAACTTGGCCACAGCTGATTAAACATGCAAATTGGCGTTGGGAAATCGTGGACGAGCAAAGACACGACACGGCCAGTTAAAAATGTGTTTATCAATCCGGGCGATTTTATCAGCCGGGAGCGATCTTCGGATCGCATAAACACTCTCGTAAAACAAAACATCTTGGGCTAAGCAAATGTACATTTTTAATGCCAGTTTCTGTTGCAATCACTTAGCTCCTCCACGGCATCAGCACATCAAATGCAACCGAAGAGGAACCCCAGCAATCCGTAAGATAGATTGGATTTTTCTATACACAGAACGAATTTAGTTTAAATTCTAGTGAGTATATTCTATGCTTTAAATTATTATATTAAGGAAATAATAGCCAAAAAAAAATCTGTTAATTTAAGACTGATGAATAATAGTTGTTTTACAATATTTCGAATATTTTCCAAACATGTTTTCATACAAATAATATTGTCAAATTCAATACTTCAAGTAATGCTTGTTTAATTAAATAGAATTCTTCATTGATTTTATTTATCTTTTTTTCAATGCACCTTAATTATATGCATTATGTGTTCAGTCTGCTTAATAAAGAGGCGCCGAGGAAGTCGCATTAAGAATGTCTGGAATGCATTGCATCCATAATTGATGGATGAATAATTAGAAAGCACCCGACACACTCGGTCAATTACAAAGTTCTAAAAACAATGGTCGACCTAGCCCGCTGGCAGATTAACTTATTAGCACTGGAAAGTACTGAATATACAATGAATAATTCCTACAAAATAATATAGATATTAAGCTTAGGAGAGCTCACTAAAAATTAGATGCAAATTTGCTTAGACCTTATGAATATTTCGAGTATTTTGTCAAGCATGAAGGTGAAGTGACTTCTTCGAGTCGTTCGAGCCACGCATGACAAAATCGACAACAGATGTCGTCAACTTCCTTTTCGGATAATAAAATAATTATGTAGAATAAATATTAAGTAACTAACGCGAGCGACAGACGACAAATTTAATAATACAAATAATGCATAATTTAGTCATATACCTAAGCTAGTTCCGAGTCTCAATACCAGCCAGGCTTGGAGTCTGAGCCGAGGCGTGCAATGAAATAATTAACCCTGAACCCCGTCAGACATACATATACTACAAAAATAAAAATATATATTTATATATAGTACTTGTGAACACGTACATAAGAATGCCCCATTGTTGCTGTACTCTATAATCATTTTACCCCTCGCGACGGATTTTTACACGTTTGATTCTTAGAACTGACGAATTCCTACTATGTCTAAAGTGAGCAAATATTTGTCAGGTTTTATTTCGGGTTTTTTCATTTTATTTTTTGTGATCTTGTGGTATTAGCTAATACCTTCGGCAAACTTCAAGAAAGCGACCTCCCACTTGGATCGCTTGATCGAATAGTATTCAATTGCCTGCAGGGTATCCATTGGCAATATTCAGTCCGCATCTCCGTTTGTGCAAGAGTTTAAAAAGCGCTGAAAACTAATAGCCTGCACTTAAGGCCACGTTAGGTGGGGTGAAAATGCCTCTACGGGAGCGGGATTTGATTGAAAATGACAGTTAACGTGCCGGCGCAGTCATTAAGGCAAATTTGCAGTTTGCGGTCAGGCAATATATATGTGAATATGTGTATATATCGGGGGGAAAACACCCGGGGGATTTGGGACTTGGATGTGGGGATTACGATGCGAGATTTGCGTGTGTGGTGGTTATGCAAAGGCTAAAGGAAAGTGCAAGTGACAGCCGCGGGTATATTGAGTGTGTGGATTCGCTGTCATTGAGACAATTGGAGTCGGGATTAGATAACCTGCCTTGTGGCACACTAACCGCCACAACAATTTCGGTGGCATTTATTCAAAATGGGAGTTGTTATCCATAGTTACATTTTGAAAGCGGAAAAGTGGAGAAATTATGTTCAGATATATGAATATATGTATGACATCTTAGTTGAAACATTAAAAGTAAAGCACAAATGCAACTTGGCGAATGTTGTAAGCATGCACTTTAATTAAATAAGAAAGAAAATATATTCGTATGAAAGAGTTTAAGAGAATATAATGCTAAGAAAGCTGTAATATATAGATCATCTTCTTGTTACATATGAAGATATTCAACCTTAAATAACTGCAAAATCTGTATATTCCCTTGAAAGCTATCTTATTTTTTCTATAATAAGTTTATTTCAAGTGGGATCAAGTGTGTTGAGGGAGTGTCTTGCTGCACTTCCCACAGTGTCTTACCCTCTTTTGCGATTAATGCAATTTGCTTATTCTTTTGTCAAGCTCAAGGCTCCGATTCGACTCTGCTTTACTTTATATTGTGCACTTTTAAGGTGCCGCCTTCGGAGTCGCGTAGGTGGACTGAAGTTAACAGAGATTTGCCACAGTGACCGATTTTATTAGGAATTTCTAGACGCGCCCATGAGTCACAGAGTAGGAGTCTTTATGCTCTTTGTTTTTCACAGCGACAAAAGTTCGAGAACTTAATGCAAAATTGGTAATAAAAAAGTTTACAGCTGCATACGAGGAGCCGCCCTGCCATTTACTTAGTCTAATTAGTGCAAAGTACACATGACACTCCTCAGAATAACTACACTTTAACAGTTGTTACTAAAAAACAAGGGAAGTAAATATAACAGAATATATAAGAAAAAAAATAAAGTGGAAAACTTTACACTCCACACTAATCAATGATTATAGAGTTCAAGTTAAGATACTTTTTATTATTTAATTTGTTGAAAAATTCCAAAGATTCTTCTTATAATTATTATACAAGAAAATCTTCAAGCTAAACATCATTAATTTGGCTTTGTTCAAGAAATATTATTATTTTGTTTTTGCTTTTAATTATCAAGTTTCTAGTCTCTTATTTAAAACTAAGATGAGTCTTTAAATTCGCATATTTCCACAATTTCATGCTGATTATGTGTTCATTAAATTCTTGTATTTTCAATAGGATTTTCTGTGTGAGAAAATAATAAAATACCTTCCTAAAAACGTAATTATTATTTTTTAAGTAATTAAAAAGAAATACCATAATAATGTACATATTAATAGAGCTCTTTGCAAACAAATTTAAAGTCTTAGATACAATAAACATTTATAAACTTTATATATGTATGTATATATTTTTATATCTTTCAAATCCGACTCCTCAGTGTACCTGAACGTACCCAAAGTAAACTATTCCCCGAAGTCACTACCTGGGTGAGTCACCAAGAGGCAAAACGCCGGCAAAAATACAGCAAGAAATAGCGGCCACAATCTCGGCAATGCTGTTGCATAACGAAGACCCACAAGTGGCGGCTAACTAGCAACTTAATGCTCCATTGACGGCGCATTAACGGCCCCGTTAGCATCCATTTCCAATGCAATTAGCCGGCGATGCTCCGTCGTGGTAGTATCGGTGGCCAGCGTCCGGTTACCAGCTGAGTTCGATCCGCTTACAGATCGTCGTCGATCGTCGATCGACAGATCAGTGGCGTCTCTCCGTTGACCATCCGCTTACCAATTGCCACCGTACTATGGTTATGGTTATGGTCAACTCCGCGGCTGGCCAAACAACTTTTCAATTTCCACCCGGGCTTAAAGGAAAATAATAAGAAAAAATGTTCACACAGTTTTCAGTTCGCATTCGCTGTGTTTGTGTTGTGTTTACACGATTTATGATAAGTTTATTTTTAAATGTTAAACAAGCTGCCAACAATGCAAACGGGCAAAGTTCTAACTGGGCTCACAGTGAGAAAAACTGGTAACTGATATGAATTTAATAAGTAATATTACTGGAAATGAGTACAAAAAAGTCTCAAACTCTAAGCTCGAAGTTCTAATATTGTATTCTGGAGAAGTAGGCCGATTTCCTTCTATTGACTTGTGGAGACTATTTGAAGGCGTTACTCTTTAGGCCAGCTTCCAGCTAATGAGCCCGACCCCTGGCCTTTTCCTCCGCACATTAGCCACGCTCCAATTATTGCAACGCGCGGTGGCAGTTGGCAAATTAGAACGGCAAGGTGATTCCATTTTGCCCCTGCAGACCGACTCGTCGGAGGTCAGCAGGAAAATATGGAAAAATGCATGGGCCATTAATAAACACATATATTGGATATCGTAAAAAACTATATATGTATATATATATATATATCGCGGGGACCGCAGAACCAGCCGCAACAGCGAGATTAAACCTGTTTTGCGACAAGTGCGCCGTGGTAAGCGACTGTATTGTCCATGTCCATTACAGTTAGAGACATGGCCACTAAATGCAGTTACAGTCGAAGTCAGCACAGTGGATGAAATTCATAAAGATGGCAAAAATTATCATGATAAAAATCTAAAGTCCCATTGAATCTGTTAAGACCCAAAAACTAAGTGGAACTAACTAGCTTCACAGTTAACTATTTAGAAAATTGCTTACAAGTCTAGTTAGAGTCGCAAAAAATAGTTTTTAATTTATTTAAGAGTTCTCCAAACTTCCTCAACAAAAATTTTGTATTCTATTAAATTCTTTAACCATTTTTTATCCCATTTATCCCACTGTTTCGAGTGCAATGTTGGTGCTGTAACAGTTGTTTTTTGCCTGGAACCTTTTTTGTGGGCCCGGTTTCGGTCTGTTTTTTGTTGCTGTCTTAATGTTTTGTTTTACATTTTTGTAGTTTTGCTATATTTTGTTTTTTTTTCCAATTGCTCATTGATGTCTGTTTGCTTTTGGCTTTAGTTTCGGCTGTGGCACCGTTACACGCTGCCTGCCTGATTTTGCACTCTCCCGTTTTAAAGTTCAAAGGTGTCTGAACACAGTGTTTGTACTTTGTTGCTGTTTCCCCCACAGATTTTGTGTCGTGAGAACCGAATTGGTAAGATACTTTGATACCTTGCACCATGCAGATGGTCAGTACTTTCGGGGTATTGATTTGGGGAAGGGGGCACTAACTACAAGCATGTTGCAAAAATGCGTTTGCTTTTTGTTTAACCAAAATGTAAAAGTAATGCTATGGTAAGGCAATGAAAGCGTGAGAAATAATTGTAAATTAAATGTTTACATATTTAGTAATTGTGGAGGAGCACTCCCTAAAAACATTCATAATTTTTATTCATTTAAAAGTAAATTACATAAATTGAGGCTAGTCACTTTAGGTGCAGTTTCCAAAACAAATGAATAATTATTGTTGAGAGCAGAGTTTTCCAAAATAATATTGGTCATATAAACTTAATAATAAATATACCAATAAAACGGTACAGATAAATGTTAGAAATTTCGATGCATTTACAAAACCCCATTAAAATCTAAAATTTTAAAATTGGAGGAATTTAGAAAAAAATTGTTTTAATTATAATTAAATTAGATTAGTTTCATTTTCAAGACCTATCAAATTAAAGATTTTAAATTTATTTAAATTTTGTTAATTGTGAATTGTTCTGTATAAAAAGATATGATAAATATGCAAAAACATTTTAAGTCAAGATACATCTAGACTAGAAATGATAGAATGCCATTAAAATAAATTAGTTAATTGTGAATTATTCTGTATAAATTAAACAATAAATAATAAAGAAAATGTCGTTAATCTATAGTTATATTAATCTTCCTTAGCTTAACTTTTCATTATGGTAAGGAAAGTTATTTTTCTTAAATACAACAAAGCACTCATTGCTATTTGTAACTTTCCTTTATAACTTTGAAACTTTTTAACATCAACAAATGGTTTTACCGAGTATAAATAGATAACTCGACTTATAGTATACATTTTTAATTTATATATCCCTGCTGTTTTTCCCCCATTAATAACTCACTTTAGCAGCCATTGGTGTTGACAATCCGGAGGTGCTTACTTGAAGCGACAGGTGCTCGGGTGGCTAACGCATCCAGCAGATACACTCATTTGTTTATAGTTCGAGCTTTTCGAGCTGCTCTACGAGTGCGAGCGAGCGGGATGGCTGTATTCCGAATAATGAGCAGAAGATACTCGCGAGACTTTGTAGAAACTTCACTGATTGCGGCGCAAGATACTTCTTTCTTTGTGGCTTTCTTGATTTCTTGCTTTTGTATATTTACTTTCTGCAGCGACAATGCGCGATGTAATTAATTTCGCTTCAGGCCAAATGATAATAACAACTTTTCGCTTCTCATCGCGCCTCGTTTTATTTCGTTTCATTCATTTATTTATGCATTTGACCCGCTTTGTGTGTGGCTTTGACAACAACCGAAACGAGTTGCAACAATACAACAATATTGGTAACAAAAAAACACGGCTGCTGCTGCTGTTGTTGTTTACCTGGAATTTTGCGGTTCTACGCAAAAAAACTTGTTGACCGTTTTGTTGTTTTGTTTATGATTTTTCATTCTGCACTTGTTAACGCACACAGACACACGCGCATTCACACCATTACACACACACGCACAGTAAGTAAGCACAGCTTTTGGGTGAAATATATTTTTATGAATTTCGTGCGTTTTTCGGTTTCATTTCAGCACCCACGAATTTATTTTTTCGGTTAGTTTTTGGCTAGCAGCGAGCGTAGTGGCTGCCTCTATCCCTGTCTGTCTCTAGCTGCCTCTCTGTCTCGCTCTCGCGGGGGTGGCGGGCGGTGGGCGGTTGGGCGGTAATACGCATGCGCGCCTCTCGCGGTTTTCGAACTGTTTTTCTCAAGCGGCGCACAACGACTGAGCGGAGATCTGAATGACGATCGCGCTCGTGGCTGAGCGTAGCTTGAAAGCTTTGAGCTTTCCACAGATGAGAGAGTCAGGTGGGATGGAGCTAGCGGCTGTGGCGACATCTGACGGAATTTGAGGATAGCTTAATGGGAATTTTTTAAGCGGCAAAAATTTGAATTTGAATTAAATGAGATTTTATGTAACTTATTTTGATTTAAAATTTTTATAGGAGGAGGTCAAAAATGTAACAAAGTTATTATTATTTGTATTTTATTATATATTATATTTTAAATAAATTAAATATCATTTATTAGATCTGTTGCTTCAGGTGAGTGAACAAGAGGTCTTAACGGATTCGGCTTATGACGCTTATCAAAAACGACATTAGTTTTAATTAATAATTTAAAATATTTTCTTCAAATTTAAACTTTCATTGGTATACTTAGTTTTCGGATTGTTTAAAACGTCTCTGTGACTGTCAAACTTCGTTGAAAATACTGATATCTTTCTATTTTACTATTCTTACATCAGTTATCATTCTGTAGTTATATTATGTATTTAACTTAACATTTTTTTTTTGTCAGTAAACATCTGAGAGTAAGGCGTAATAACTTCCTCGTCAGATGTCTTTTATTGCTAAAAAAATTATAACCTTTATTTTTTTTTACACAAAAACCTGCTGACCTCAGGCCTTAAAATAAGTAACATAAGCCCAATTAAAATATCATTTTAAAGCGGAATGTTAACCTACGGATCCTGTATTTATATAATTAATTAAAGCTTTTATCAATGCACTTGCAGATGCTCGTCGGAAAGAGATTGTTGTATTTTTAACAAGGTTTTATATATACATATATATTTTTTAGGTGGGAAAAGTGGTAATTAAATTAATGACATTCATTAAAGGTATTGATGAACATGAAATAGGTGTATTCAGTATCTTGAAGTGCCTTTAAAATATCAATATTTTAAACATAAGGTTCAAATGTCTATAAAATATTATTCAACATTTATTTTATATTCCAAAAATTAACTTGTGCTTTTTATAGTTTCACTGGCACGTCCCAACTGTTATAATAATAATAATAATAATAAAGTGTACTATTAAATCAAAGCCACTTGTACATTTTATGTTCGCCTCACTCGCTCTTTTTTGAACACGTGATTGAGTCTTTTGATTGATTGAAGGGCCTGCCTGGATGGTCCGAGAATGAGACTCAACCCTCGAAGAGAGAGAGTGTCTTTGAGGTGCGTGCCATAACCGAAGCTGCGAAGAGCCGAAGCTGAGCTAAAAAATATATGTATATGTATAAAAATTAAGTAAAAGACCCGATTATTGACCACCGGCCAGCGACAAATCCGGACTGAAAACTCGGACTCGGGCGCGTAAGGGAGTCAAGTCAAGTCGAGAGTGTGTCGGGTCTCGGGTTTCGGGTCTCTCGCCTTTTGTTGATCTTGAGACTGAAATTCCAATTGTTGATTTATCTCTCGGCTGCTGCGCCGTCGCCTTCGCTGCTCGGTTGACCAGCGACCAAGTTTATAAAACTTTGAGCCAAAATGCAGCGGCGCACAGTTGTTACCAAAGCGTTGCACGCGTCGTGGCCCTCCTCATCATCATCATCATCGCAATTTAAGCGAAAATGAAAACGAAATTCGGTTAACGTCAACACAAAACGGACAAAAATCCAAAGAGCCAAAAAACAGAGGCAAAAAAGCACAAAAACAAGTTGCAGGGCCAGAGCAACAGTCAGCTAATCTGTTGTGTAGTGCGTTTTTTATCAGCCAGCGAAAGAAACGAAAACGAAAGTCGGTCCAAGTCCAAGTCCAAGCTAAACTCTCAGTGGAAAAAATATCTTCGTGGAAAGAAAACAAAAACAAAACGAAGAAAAATCGTCAAATAAAATCGGTGAAGAAAAAATCAGAGGCACGCGGATCTCATCTCGGTAATGTCTCAATAAAAGCAATCTTAAACTACAGCCGGAATGTAGGAAAAGTGAAAATAAAAGCACTCGACAAAGTTTCGACCATAAAAAAATAAGTTTTAAGTCAAACAGGAGGAGGAGCATTTAAGTACCAGTAAGTTGAGTGGGAATAACCAGCCAGTTCTGTGCTCTCTTGGCAAATAAGACATGTTAATTGGATTCTGATCAGAGGGGCGTCCAGCCAAACAGTGTCCAATAACCAGGCCTTCCACTGTACATAAGTATATCCGCATGGCACTCACCCGCACACAGATTCCGCACAGATATTATGTAAATGCAGATCAAATATATTTCGAAATTCCACAATAGACGTAAATATATACATATGTATATGTATGTATTTTTTTCCGTCGCGCGTTGCGCTTGCCACAAAAGAAGCGGCGTCTAAATTATGCAAAACCAACAAAAAGATCGCTTAGGAAAGCGAGAAAACGAGCAAAAAGCGCTAACCATGCACAGAGACAAAAAAATTTAGCCTTTTAAATGTTTATAAATCAAAAGTTCTTGATGGCCAGTTTTTAGTGAGGAGAAATACACGAATTGAACTTGAAATAAAAACCATTACGAGGCTAAAGAGTTTTAAAAATAACTTTAAAAAAAGTAAAAACTATTTAACTTATTTGTAAGCAGCTTTAAAAGAATATTAATTCGAATACTACATTTTTATATTACATGTTTGTATATAATATTCGATTTATCAGGATTTTTACTGACCATATGTCCATAAAGTTATAAAACTTGCTTTTAAAAATATAGTGACATGACCTATATTCACTTATTAAATTTCTTCTATTAATATAAATTTTTCAATTAAGTATAAAGCTAAAAATTGCCAAATTTCTTGAGCCGCAATGATTCATATTATATTTTACTAATATAAAAACTTAATAGTTCTTAAAATATATCTAAAACTAAGATCACATTTTGATAAAAAGCATTATATCATTATCTAACTGACCTATATAGCATTCATAAGTTTCTCTATCTGACCTCTTAAATTTCTCTCTGTGCACCCAAAATTGATTGTGCCACAAAAGGCAGCTCTCATGATTCTGGGGTCGTCTTTTTTATCTATTAATTTTGATTACGCGCACCTTTAGTCATAATAAACAATAGGCCGCGAATTATTACGTATGAGTGAGTTTGTTTGTGTGTCAAAGCGAAAACGAAAGGTAGCAACAACAAGCCACCGATTGTGTGTGGTCAGCGCTGGCTTTACACCTGCGCAGAGCTACCTACATACGTCACTCGAAAACACCCAAAACTCAAAAGTAACTCAAACTGAAACTCGAACCGAAACTCGAACTCGCACTCGAAGCAGACGCGTCGCCGGGCAACGCAGGCAATCAATTGAACCTTAGTCGCCGTTTGAGTCGCACTCCCATCGGAATTGGGTTGAGTCTCGTTTCGGCTTTTGTTTATCTTATTTTTATTTCGCTGCGTTTTCAACGAAAAAAATAACTTTTACCCCGCTTGGCGCCGTCAAATCAAAATTATATGCAAAATTATTAACGCCTGTGTTTTAAAAATGTTAATTGTTGCATAAGTCTTCTCTTCGCGTTGTCTTTTCACTCCTTCCTTTCGCCGATTGTTTAACCGGTAATGGGCTTACATGTCGTATGCGTAACATTCTAATGATGAAAAGGGGGAGCGAAGTGCGTGGCTTTGCTTTATTTTTTTGTTGTTTACTTTCTCACACCGGGAGAAATGTGTATGTAACGAAAAATATATAAAGAGTTGAAAATAATTTAGTATAATACTTAATTCAAGTGAGTAAATGTAGATAACGTGAAGTGTTTTATATAAATTAAATTAATAATAGATATACGTTAACAATTTAATACTTGAATGAATAGAAACACATCCAAAAATAATGTAATAATTCTTTAGCATGCTAAGCTTTGATTGGTTTATAAAACACATGTTAATTATTAAAATATATCTTTCACTTCCTCGGTAGGAAGTAACTTAATGTACAATGAAAAGGAAAAACTTTAATATATTTATTATGTTTCCCTTAAAATAATAATAAATCCAAGCTAGTTATAGAATTAAGAATAAAATAACGAATATAATAATAAATAAAATTTTACGTTTTCTATATATATTTACTTGTAACGTAATGACCCATTTCTCTTGTATATTTCCTGCACATATTACGAAATCACAGTTTCTCCCTCTTCATTAAAATGGCAAACAAAAGATACAATTTCCTCATAATGAACTAAAGACGTTAAATGATAATAATTTCACAAGAAATTCGCAATTTTGCTTCAACTTAAAGTCGTAAAGAAACGACCATTGAAGATTATAACCCATGACAGGGCCACACGGCGTATGCGTAATATTCTAATGCAATCGCAAAAGTTTACAGAGAGAGGGGCATTAGTTAGTGAATAATGCAATAAATGCAATGTGTGTCAGTGGGAAATCACTATCGAATGCGTTTTGAAAACGTGCTTATTGGCCAACGAAAGTTTCTCCCAATCAATTGGCACAAACATTAACCAATATCAATAACGCAGGTAAGACGACGCGAGACCAGGCGAGGCGAGGCGAGGCGTGGCCAAGTGAGGTGAATCGTGGTGCGGTGACCTTCGACGGACGGCGGCAGCAAAGCGGCAATCAAACAAGCCATTTGAGATAGCCAAACAAAAACGCGGTCCAAATACCGCGCACAATACCATCGTTCGTACCAGCAAATAGATTTAAACACCAAATATAAATAAGCCAAGGTGACTAAGTACGGCAGCGGCATGGAGATCAGGCGCACCTCTCGATCTCGGCCATATCTCTGGGCCGTAACGCTGCTGATGCTGCTCGGCCTTTGGCTGGGCTCGGTTTTGGCCAAGGGCGCCACCAATCAGACCTGGCAGCAGCAGCACCAGCAGCACTATCAAAGTCAGTCCAATGAATCGCAATTGCTGCCGGAGGAACCGGCACTTATGGAAGTAGCCCCACCGATGGTGAGCTCTCCCCATGAAACCCATTTAACGCGCACCTCGATGATCTTCGGGCTAACTAAAGTGGCCAATGAGAGCCGTGTTAACCACAAGTGCCACGCGCAGCTAAGACAGGTGCAGCGCGGCATACTCGCCAAGCAGCCGTGGGCCATGAAGGGTAAGTGTGGGTAAATCCCCCTCAAATAGTTAATAATAATTGAGGTTTCCTTGGGGGCAATAATAGTTACAGAAAATTGGAAGGTATATCAGATGAGGTGAACCTTAAATCAACACAATATATAAGTCAAATAGTCACAAAAAATCTATGGAATTCTTATTTATTTAAAAATTAATATAAATAGAAATCTCCAGTAAATATATAGCAAACAAAAAACACCAATAACATTCCCTTTCTCAATCAGCTGTGTACTTTTTATTTGTCTACAATTATCTGCTTATTTCAATAATATTTGCATAACAATTCGATGCGGCAATGAGCAATATAAAACAAACATATATTTTACTACTGTGAGATCACTTTTAACGAATCAATTATAACTTTGAATAACCCAAATAATAAATGAATATATTTCATATAGAGATCAGGCTATATTTAGGATCAAGCTAAGAAGATAAACCCTAGAAATCATGATTCATACTAGGGTTTCTAACAAAAAACCTACACGAATTTGAATAGTAAACAAATTAAATGTGAGCTAGGTAAACACACAACAAATGACCTGTGACTGTAGAATTACTCAGATATCATAATCAAACATATATTTCTACTGTAGCCTGAGTCTTGAACAACTCACAACTAATTTAAATAATAAATAAAAAACAGAGCACCTTTTAAAATTGCCTCGGACTCATGTAATTTCCTAAACTCTATTGTACATTCCCACAGTGCTGGACGCCTCGGGAACGAAACCCTCGGGATTTGTTTATGGCCAGAACTACTGGCTGGGAAGCCGGGAAGCTTGTCGCGGAGTCCAAAGACCTGTGGAAATAACACTCTCGAAGAACTTCGATCGGGTGATGCACTATGGGATTATCACCCAGCAGGCGCCCTTCGACATGGACTATCGAGTGATCTACCTGAGACATAGCTCCCCATGGCAGGTGGAAATAAAGCTCATGTCCGAGCAGATCATTCACATAGGACTATGTCTGCCAAGTGCCTGCAATTCGGAGGAGGTCAAGGGCCTGGCCCAGGACTATGTGGCTGCGGACATGTTCCCCGAAAACGAAATCTACGACATTCGACCGGAGGTGGTCTATATGAAGGATCTGCAGCTGAAGGATGTATTCTTCGAGAGGGCCAGTTTCAGGCTGCTGGTTGCATGTGTCCTGGCCACCGGAGCTCTGATGCTCTGTGCCCAGCAACTAACGGCCGCCAAGAAACTCACACCTTCATCTGATGAGCCTGATCCTGGTCTAGCTCCCGCTGAATCCGAGCTATGGAGGGGACTCCACTCCCTTCTCCAGCTGGAGAAGCTCCAGAAATTCATTCCCTGCTGGGATGTGCCCGGTAATTGGGCCAAGATCTTTGCCGTGCGGGAGAACAGTCCCAGTGAGATACCCCTGATGAATGGCCTGCGAAGTGTGTGCGCCATTTGGATCATGGTATTCCATGTGGTGTGGTTCATGTACTTCACTGTCCACAACAAAACGGTGCTGATTTCATATGCGGAGCAGGCATTCTTCCAGTACGTCTCATCGGCTCCTCTGCTCGTGGATGTCTTCTTCACCATCAGGTGGGTTTTCTAGCACCATAGAATATTTTAACAATTATTTAATATAAATTGAATGCCTTTCAGTGGCTTCCTGCAAACATACAACTTTCTGCGCAACTCTCAGCAGCTGGAGGCAGTGCGTCAAAATGGCTTTGGTCAGAACCTGAAGCTCTTTGGCAAGCTTCTCTTCCACCGCTATCTGCGCCTGGGTCCGCTGTATCTAGTGGTTATGGCCACCGTGGATCTGGTGTATGCCTACATTGGGGATGTCTCGGTTTACCACATCAACGAGCGCTTCGATGAGATGTGCTCCCAACATTGGTGGCGGAATCTTCTGTTCATCCAGAACCTCTTCGATCACCGGGACATGTGTGCCAACTGGAGCTGGTCCCTGGCCTGCGAGATGCAGTTCTTCATCCTGGCCAATGCCTTTTTGTTTCTCTACGTGAGGTGGGTTGGGGTCATAAATGCCAACAGAAACTTGTACTATAGAATATCATTTAATTTTTCAGATATCCCAAGGTAGTCAAAGCCATGGTGGTCTCGACCTTGGTGGCCACCATCGCCTGGTCTTATGGCATAGGGTTGAGCATCAAGTTCCAGTTGTCCTTTGACTCTGCCTTTGCCACCGGCACGGAGATCTACACGTCGCCTTTTGTTAGGGTCCTGCCGTATATCCTGGGCGCTGTCACTGCCTGGCTTCTCCTTGAGAAAAGTCTCCAGTTGGAGCTGAGCGAGCTGAGGGAACGGCAGTGCTGGCACCTGGCCCTGGTGGTATTCTTCGCCTGCATTTACTCCACGGTGAAGCGGGATCTGGGCCCGCTGATGGCCATCACGCTGTTTGTGATGGGACGCCTTTTCTTCTCCCTGAGTGTCTGCTGGATGGTGGCCGGGAGTTGCCAAGGACGCGGTGTCTGGTGGTCACGTCTGCTGGAGGCCAAGGGTTTCCAGCACGTCAGTCGGCTGTCCTACGCCATTTATCTGCTCAATCCGCTGGTCATCGCCCTCTTCTACAGCCTGACGAATGCCAGCACGCACGCGGATCCTTTTATGCTGGTGGGTAATAAAAAAGAGATAATTAGTATATGTATTAATATTTACATTTCATTTATTCCAGTGCGTAGTCACCTGCGGATTTGCTGTCATCGTTTACCTGGCCTCGATCCTCTTCTCCCTGGCCTTTGAGCTACCCTTCAGCAATCTATCCAGTTTACTAAATCGGCGCAGTAAACAGAAAAGTGCCTAAAAGACGCTAGCCCTAAGTTAGGACCTTATGGTCAACGCACACGCCTCCATCTGACAATTGTGATCGCTTCATGTACAACTACTATTCATCATAACCGTATCACTAGGCTTAGTCTTGTCATAGTCAATATGTTACACGTACTATATACAATGTACTATATATACCTTCTACATCGGTGGCCACCGTACTTAATAAGGTAAACCCCTCTAGCAGTAGATACACTCTAATATACATATCTCACTATATAAATATGTACTATATAGCCCCCATATCATTACCCAGCATAGAATATAGCCTTGTTTAAAATCAAAAGTGAAATGTTTTTATTTCTTATTATTATGAGGGATATGGTTTTTAGGAAATTTAGTTGATACTGGTTGGTTAGCATCTTTAGGCATTAAATCACATATTAAAGATATATACAATTCATACAACTTGTAATTCCTGAACACTTCTTGACTATCTTGCTCTGTGATTTCTTTATAATCAAACTTGAAATGACATCTTATGTGTTCTTCAGATTGGCCTAAGTCTTTAAGGTTGATATATAATAATTGTTTACTTAACTTTGGAGTATTCATTTACATTTCTTCAGTTAGAAATAAAGTCAACAGAAAGTCAATCAATCGCCTGTTGCACTCAATTTCACAGATTGTTTTTTAATGACTCAGTTTTACGTTGTTTATGTCTATTGTTACAACAGATATCTGTTGGCGCCTTCCCGATGGATTATCGATCATTCATACATTATTATATAACTGCAGCTATCATTATATAATTTCCTGGAAAAGACAATGGGAAAATTGGAGGTCCATAATTTGAGGTGTCCAGATTTCGGGAAAGCCCCCAAAGCTTTTGGTTTCTTAAATATATTATAAGTAATCATGAATTAAAATATAAAATATAAGTTTTATTAAATGCTGATATTAAGTAATATTAATAATAAGGATTTTAATTTTTAGAAATATGGTAGTAACCTACACACTTTGTACATTTTGTCAGAAGATCTGGTGGAGAATTGGGACAGGATTGGGCAAAATAATATCGAACACGCCTTAAAATATCCGAAGACTGCTCTTCGATATCTTTAATGTTTAAGTCGGAATGACGTTTGAAAATGCACAAAATAATCTGATAGAGAATTGTTTCCGTGGAGAAATGATATTTCAACAACTGCCACAACTCCTCCCGGGTATTTTCGACAAATGTTTGGGTGAGCTTTAGGATCAGCATCAGCATTTCCGGTTCCAAGTTCTCACACATGCTATACATCAGGTTGTCAAAGCTCTCGTTATTCAAAATATGTTTCTGGAAAGCAGAACCATAGTCCTCCAAGTTAATTTCTTCTTTACGTACTCTATCTATGAGCAGTCCTTTGAGTTTTGTTTTAGTTCTAAACATTATGTCCAGTTCTTTTTTAGAAGGCACTTCATTGGCGCTGCGTATCAGATCCACTTTACCTTCAATGCGTTTAGCTTCCTCAGAGATTTGGTTATAAACCATTCTGTAATTAATTTTAAAAATGTAAATATTACAGTATAAACATTTATAAGTTTTAGAGTACTTAAGTTCGTGGCCCAGGATGTTGTGATACTTTTGTTCTTTAATCATTTCCAATGCCAGCCGGCGGTTGTTGATAGTGTGAGTAAATAAAAGCAGGGAATCGGAGAGTTCGCTTGCATCAGAGGATTTCTCACCATCACGCTGACTCTGATAACAAAAGAATATTTACTTCAAGTAAATTAAAGTTATACTAAAGCGCTCACCAATAGAAGATATAGTATTCTGTCGCACGAGCAAAACTTCCATTCCCTAACCATAAAAGATCTTATTAGTGAAAATGTATTTTTTGGATCTATTATAGGAGTGTGACTAGGACACTTGGGGGCTGCTGCCAAGGAGTCAGGCGTTATGCAGCGATCTTTGCCGGTGGCATAAATGCTCTTGTTACGTTCCCAGATATAATGTGCTTCAAGCTCCACCTGGCCATCGATGAGCTTGTAGATCCCCCGATACGGAGTCACCATATATCCCTTGGGCAAACGCGTATATTTGACAAACGTATTCCAGTCTTCGAAGGCCTCGTACTGGCTTATATACACCATGCAGCAGTCCTCGCTGCTACAGTTTCTCCCAGTGTTGTCGTCTTAAAAAGGTTTTAAAAATATAGAAAATAAAATTAACATACATTATATGTTGGACTTATTTTACCCACGCAACGACGGCAGCGGAAAACTGGATGAATAGACCAGGATCTGCTTTGCTCGGCCAGTTTTGGATCAGAGACATTATCCACAACCATCACAAAAAATAAGGCAGAAAGGGATTGGCCATTGGTGAACTTTCCTGTTAATTGGAAATCCTTATATTATTATAACAGATAACAAAGATTTAAATATGTTATCTTACGCTGCTTCCATATCGAATCAAAAAATTTCGGATTATAAATCAAATAAGATAAATTGGTTTTCTTTTCTTCTGGATCTTCAAAGTCTTCGACCTTTTTCCGTAGAATTTCTGCCTGATTCGAGGACAATCTGAAGCCCAAAACAACATGTTGAATTATATATATGTAATTACCTGCATATATAGATATGTATCTACACATTTGTGTTAAGATAGCTACTTACAAATCCCAGGTAATATCATCGCCGTGACTTAGGAGTTCGGCAAACATTTGCTGCACCTCTCTGACTGTCGGAATCAAGCTTTTAGTATCCTCCGGTGCACTCATCTTTGTTCTTTGTTCGTTGTTACTCAAAGATTTTCTCCTGTTGCAAGTTGCAGATGGAAGTTGCATTGCACCGGTCTTATCGATAGTCGATAGTTAACTTTAGTTTTTACAACTTAAGCCACAAAGGCAAATAATAGGTTTAATAAACGAAAAATTTTAAAGAAATTAAAAATTTTTTCAAATTTGAACTAGAAAACTAGCTAATAACAGTAAATTTTCAAAAATTATCGATATTACGGAGCTATCGATAGAAACATCAATATCATCTTAAGCACAGCCAAGTTTCCCACCTTTTTTCAGCGGCTTGGCAGCACCGGTTTATTGGACTATTAAAAATAAGGGGAACTATGAAAACTAATATTTTTAATCCGCAGCTTAAGAAAGTTAACAATGGTTAGAAATGTGGCAAAAGATTTCTAGTTGCGAATTTTGTCATTGCTGAATCTCCACACTCTAAGCGATTCAAGTGTGACCAGCTAGCACGGAGAAATAATTCCATTATTTTTCTGAACTAGTTTCTGTTTTCTATTCCGAGACGGTCACTCTGTTTGAACAAAAAGAAAAGGAGGACGCGTTGCCCGTGTTGCTCCCGTTAAAATGTTTAAAAATATGACTTAAAAGCATTGTCAATTAAAAAAAATTGCCGGGAAAAAACCAAAAGGTGCCATTTTAGTTAAATAGTGTAAACTATAGAAAACATTCGTATTGAAAATGTAGTTGACCAGCGAACGGTGTTTTTCGGTGTGTGGCGGCTGTTATTTTATTTGTTTTTGATGGAAAATTTAAAAAACCTTTCTCTGAAGTATACAGTTAAGCTAAAGAAATAGTAAGCCATATGTTTCCACAAATATAAAGTGCAAAACGACGTCGCTGAGGCGAGAAAAGTGATGCAAAGTGAAAAGTCCAGGCCCAGCATCCTTCAGCTTGCTTCTTCTTCTTCACCATCCTTTGCCTTCCTTTTCGCCTGCCACCGTGTCTGTGTATGTGTGCGTGTGTGTATGTGCGTGCGCCGCAGTCTCCCTTCGAAAATTGTGTTAAATAAATTTATTCGAGCTGCCAATAACACAAATTGATGCCAAAAAAGCAACAAAATTGAACTGCAAGCGTGTGTGTTGAATTAGCACTCTCCCTATCTCTATCTTCGGCTGTCTCGCTCCAACTCCGCTTTAATAACTGTTACCTAAATATGCGTGCGTGTGCTCTTACTTTTTTTTTGTCTCTTCATTTATAAATAAATTTCAAATTCAAAGTGGAATATTTTTCTGTCTCTCTGAAAGGATAAACCAATTTTGATGTGCCAACCAAGGAGGACGCAGGACAACAACCGCCAAGCAGGTATATATCATATCATATATTTATCAATAAATTTAAGAAACTAATTGAGTCAGCGGCGGCAGCAGCACTTGGGTTTTATCTCTCTCTTTTCCCAATTGGCACTTGACGCCTTTTTTGTTGCTTCTTATCAGCATCTCATTGTTGTTGCCACGGTGTCCGCCCCCGCTCTCTCGCTCTCTCTCGCGCGCGCCTCTTCACTCTCGCTCTCTGTCTGTCTCCCGGTATCCAAGTGTGTGCTTGTGGAATTTTTTCTTATGCGCTCTTTTCTTCATCGCCTTTAACTTGGCCAGCCGTCTTGTGTTGTTGTTCTTTTTCGTAACGTTGTTGTGTGCTCTTTTTGTTGCTATTTTTTTTTTTTTTTTGCATGTCTCTGTCGCCGTGGCTGGGGGCTGACCTTGAACAAGTTCAGGCACAGTGGCACGCATGCCTGCTCGCCTGTTTGCCACTTCTCCTGGTCCCCTTTCCGGCTCCTGCGCCTTTTTTGCAATACAATGGCCTTGGCCGGCCCCACTGTACCGCCCGGGCCACCGCAACGCTGCATCTCCCTCTAGCACGCGCGTCAGCCTGCCAAAAGATTGCGAGAGTGTTTGCTATTCGTTCTTACAGTGGAGCTTTTGTTAGCTTGCACAGTAATAAAGCGTTAGAGCGATTATATTTCCGTTATATGGACTTGGGATGTAATTATTAAGGTTCAGATAAAAACAATGTGAAACTGTATAAGGAAAAGGAAATATAATTACAGTACATGCATTCAACAAATGTTTTTGTCATCTATTTTAATAGTTGCAAAAAAATTTATGTATAATTTTCACAAAAAGAAATGCATCTCAATTAACGATTTAATTAAATTGCTTTGATCATAATACATATGCATTTATTCATATTTATTTAATGAAAATAACAATGAAATAACCTTTTTGAACCCCGAAAATCAAAAATTTCGTTGTCATTTTTTAGTACAGTTCTGATTTATTTTTTTGACACCAATGACAAATTAATCTATTAATTATACTATATCAATTTGTTCTGACGCCCTAAATGTATAACATCACATGCTTCGTGAAATTTAAAGCTCTACTTTTTAATTGTTGAAAGCAGCTTCCGCGTGAAGCTCGCTCTTTAACATTCTCTAAATAAATATCTGTGACTGACGATGAATTAACAAACTTTTTCGAAGCACTGCAACAAATTGAATGTTAATAACTTCAAATGTTAATCATTTGAAATATAGGACAAGAAACAATTAAATTATAGATCGTATTGATCAAGAATATGAATGGAAATGACTTTATTACTTTGCAAACTTCTTACTAATATTACTTATATTAAATGATTAAAAAAGTACAAAATCTAAAAAAAAATTCCTCGAACTAAGATCATTTTTAAAAAGTTTTTTTTTATGTACAATTCTAAAGTTATATTTAACTTGTTTCTGTGCTACATTTTCTTGTTTTTATTTGTTTGCGTATCCGCAATTCTTACTTCTATTCGCCACCTTTTGGGCCTTATGGCCCACTGATAACTGACGGTACACGGAGCGTTGGACGTTAGGCCGTTCACGTTGCGCGGTGTTGCTTTTAATGGTTCGTACATTGACCCCGGGAGACCGGAGACTCACCGTCGACGTCACGTCAACGTCAGCGGCTTAAGTTTTTTTTAGCTTTCTCTTTTACTCCCGCTCGAATTTCCGATCCCAGTGAAATTTATGTGTTTGCAAATTGTGTTATCTTAAAAGCACATAAAATTTGCCAACAAAACACAATTTGGATTATCATGTGACTAGTTTTAATTTCCATATTAAGTCTTGTCAGTCTATGTATATGGTATTTATATTTGTATTCAGTTTCTCTTTCTGTGGGGAACAAGATTTCAATTTTAAGACCTAATCAAATAATGGCAAGTTTTCATTTGACTCATCAAGTACAAGAAACCTATATAATAGCTAAATAACTTAATAAGAGAAAAAGCTTTCTTTAAAAACAACAAAATACAATATTTTTTCAATAATGTTTCGCAATGAAATCTAATCTTTTATTGATTTTCTGATGAGATTATATATTAAGTGTCATCGTCAGGCCATACTTTATATTTTAAATCAGTACAGCCAGTAATTGTTTCAAGCTTTCGAAAGTATTAGCTTATTCAGAGAAATTGCAATATATAGAGAATACATGATTGCTTATTTGAATATTCTGCAAATTGTTGTTGATTTCATTTTTGCACATGTGTACTTGAAATTTCAACTTAAGCATTCGACCACTGAAAAATAAACAAAAGAAATATAAATGCGTTTCTTAATTAAACGATAAAGAGGAGCGCTCTCCGCCTCGTAAAACAGACGAAATCGAAATATATATTGTATCTGTTTAGGGGGCGAAGTTTATGTTGATGTTTGCAAAGTTTGGAATTTATTTATTGCCCATAGAAATTATAAAAACCAGGCATGTGGAAAAATTTATTACAAAATTAGATCGCATATTTCTGAATTGCATTATATAGAAGATTTCTATGAAAGAACTTTGTTTAGTTTCAAGGCAATGCAGTTCCCAGGGTTTCTTACTTTGTAGAAGAAACCGTTCCATCAGCAACTTTTCAAGATCAGCACAGAGTTCATATATCAATTTGTAGCGAATTCTTGGTAATTATTTTTATCAGCAAAAAATTTGCATTAATAAAGGAGACAAGAAATGTGAGATGTATAAATATACATAAATTCACTTGACACTTTTTTATACCCTTGCAGGGTATTATAATTTCAGTCAGAAGTTTGCAACGCAGTGAAGGAGGCACCTCCGACTATATAAAGTATATATATTCTTGATCAGGATCAACAGCCGAGTCGATCTAGCCATGTCCGTCTGTCCGTCTGTCCGTCTGTCCGTCTGTCCTTCTGTCCGTCTGTCCGTCTGTCCGTCTGTCCGTTTCTACGCAAACTAGTCTCTCAGTTTTGAAGCTATCTGAATGAAACTTTGTAGTTAGCCTTCTATATACTCTCACTCGTATATATGTCGGAACGGGCCGGATCGGACGACTATATCATATAGCTGCCATAGGAATGATCGGAAAATTTTTACAAAAAAATTTTTTAACTTTTTCAGTTTTCAATAGAATTGGATCAAATTTGAAATATAGCCATTTTACTATACTCTACAATTTTGCATAAAATTTTATGAAAATCGGACTACTATATCATATAGCTCCCATAGGAACGATCGAGAAATTAATACAATTAGATTTATAACCTTTTTAGTTTTCAACTGATTTTCATCAAATTTTAGGTATAGGCATTTTATATTAGTCTTAAATTTTGTGTCAAATTTCATGAAAATCGGACTATTATATCATATAGGTGCCATACAAACGATCGCTTGATGTAGAGGAAAAATGCAAATCTTTGAATGTAAAACTGCAAATATAATATGTATAGGTGAATACAATGAAAGCAGGTATTACTTCATTGTTTTTTAACACAAATATATATCATTTATATTGTATGGTTTTTTATTCATAGAAGTTCTATCTGCAAGGGTATATAAACTTCGGCGTGCCGAAGTTAGCTTCCTTTCTTGTTTCAATTGAACTCTGCAAACCCCAAGAAAAGTGAGTCACGTCGATCATATATTATTTAGCTTTCCAAAATCTCTTCACCGCCAACATTTGTTTTGTATCACTTAATTTTCATTCTTTATTTTTGCATACAAGTGGGATATTCCTTTA